TATTCATGTGGCTAGAGACAAGGCTGTGAGGATCCTTCTGCACACTAATTACATCTATTTCAGCCCTGCTCATGCCAGGGGATTTTTCCTTGCTGTTTCAGACTTTTGTGAAGTTTGGTGAATATCTATGTGTATTTGTTGTTTCTGTGCGTCAAATCAGACTTAGAAGCATTAAAAAAACCCCGGCCTCACCATGTGAAATTCAATACAATATCACCACAGCCTTTGCTTTCCCGTTTTCAGAAGTTAATTGTTGCCACTGCTGTCAGCACAAGCACACCTCAACACCCTAGCTCTGCCTTTACAGGAAAACAAAAAGATTTTTTTTTATTATAATAACTGACAATAGTTTCTTTAAATGTGGGTCACTGGGCAAAGCATGCTTAATGCATTTCGAGCTGATTACTATTTTCTCACTCATGATGTATAAAGTTGTACTCAGTGTCGAAAAATGAAAGCCCTCCTACACAACACATCCAAACTCCACTCTGTTTTTTCCACTGGGTCAAACAAGAGATTTCAAACTTCACCCAAACCTTATGTGTGAGATGGAGCTACAGAGACAGCACAGGAACAAGTTACTTCAAGTCCACAGAGAAGAACTGAAAGAAATCCACCCTGCAACTCCACAAACAGGAGGGAAAACACAATGATGGCCAGCAGAAAACAGGCACTCGTTTCACATCTGACTCTAAGGTGCAGCAAAAAGCCAACTAAAGAGCATAAATAAGTGTTGAGCTCAACACTGGGATTAATTCTATGATTAATTCACATAATTCTGTGTAAGAGTCGGACTAGCAAAGCCTGCTCATGATTTTTCCCAGGATCTGCCCTGGGCTGCAGTGGTGTTTGCCATTTAGTGCTGTGTTTACATGGTAAGGGATGGATCAGACCAGAGGAGAAGCATCTGAATCATTGGCACTGCATTCCATTTTGTGCTGAATCATATTCAAGTTTCGTTTTCGGTTCAGGGGTTACCAGAGAGTGCACAGCTCAGACTTCAACTGCCTCCAGAACAACTGGGACCTGCACAAGGATGAATCTCCAAAAAAACTCTGTGCTTTATCTCTGGCGAGTGTAACTTTCAGTTTGAAATTGTTAGATTCTAGCAAACCTTCTCCATGCCTCCTTAAAACAAATGATACCCCAAATACTATCATCAGACAGATTAATTTTACATTTAAGCAAACAAGATGTTCTTTTTGCTGTCTCCATGAAGACTTTCCTTGTTTTATGTACCTTCTTTTTTTTATTTTTTGAACAATGCAACGGGAGAACTACATGTGACATTTTCTCCCCTAAGTGGTACCTGCTGAGAAAAATTCCACCATTAAAAATGGCCCACGCTAACATTTAAATGTTGATAATAATTAGCCTGACATTTGAAATACAGTGGTTGCACTGTTGTCTTGAAGATGTTCTGCTCAACATTACCTAACTAGCCCCCTTTCATACTTACGTGCTCTCTGTACATTATTCTGTCAGTTACTGAACAAATAAGACATCAGTTGCTAATGTATTAACATGCAAAAACTACGCTTAAGGGCCAAACACTGCCCCCAGTCCACAATGTAACTCCCATTGATGTCAAGTACTGTTAAGGTTGTGACAACCAGTAAAAGAAGGGAGCTGAAAAGTAGGGGATCAATTTTCTCCCTGATCTGCAAGGAATTTATGCAAACGGCTCCCTGCAGAAGGAGGGATGGGAAAGGCGGGCGGCGTGGGTCGTGCCACCGGATGGGAGCTGCTGGCTTCCTCCTGCTCTGGGCCATTGTGCACAGCCTCAGCCATGGCATCTGAACCTTTTGGGGAGTGCCCAGCCACCTCAGGTGTGCTGGAAGGTCAGGCCCCATCACTCCCTGCCCTTTAAGTAAGATAAAAGTAGGCGGCTGCTGAAAAGTGACAATAATTCGCAGAGCAAGCTGAAAACGAAAGTATCCACGGACGGACAAAAATACACCTTTCTCATCTTTGGGAGATGAAGAATTGCACACTCCTGATGACCTACAGACTCCTTATGTTTCTGGATCCTACAGACAGCCCTGCTAAGGAGAGGCCAGTGGGATGAGCAGAGGAGAAACCACAGGATAAGTCTCAGGAGCAGCAGGCCTGGAACCAGGAGAGAGGAAACTGCTTTCTTCCAACCGGTTCCTGGACATCCCAAGCCATGAGCTTGGTGTGTGCAAATGTTTGAGGGCAAAAAGACTTACACATGGCTAAGTTCTGCATCTAGACAGCAAAGTACTTTTCTATGCTTTCTCAGATAACAGAATCCTGTAATGCTCACAACACAGCAGAGCACATTAACTATAAATGATACAGTCTAAGAATGAAGTAATAGCATTGCCCCTGCATTTCCTTGCTTTTGTCATCTCCAGATTCTTACCTGCTTTGTGTGAGCCTGTGGTTGCCATCTCCTCTGTTCTATTACTAATGGGTGTCTCTCATCCTAAGAGAAACGAGGATGACACAAGTGGTGGCAACAGGAAGCTTAGGGTAC